GTAATCATACAGAGAAGAGGACACACAAAGAGCTCCTGACATCTCTTCTCTTAGTGGTATTAAAAGTATCACAGAGCCATAGCATCCCCTCACTGCAGGATTCAATAATTCATTTTTTGTCCATTTTGCCCAAAGTCCCTACATCTAATTTTCCAAAAAAGAAAAAAAAACCTCTTGCACCCTCTCATATCAGAATTACAGCTCAAATCCTGTTTTCCCTCAATTTAAGATTTTTTTAGAATCTACACATCTTACACAATATTTTTTCATCCTTTTAAAATTAAATCTAACCTTTTTGCTTTAGACGTCCCAAACAGAGCTCCATCAAGACCCTCGGTGCATGAACTGTCAACCTCTCCAATCAAGCTATAAGGGACTCTTATTTTAAATCCAGGGGCAACGTTTGAGTTTTCGAGAAGTTTTTATAATTTGGCTTTTTCTTAGTCATTCATCTTGTTTGTAAATGCACGTGCGTGGTGTACAAACATATGCAAGAACCTAAGCTCGTGTCAGTGTATTTAGTTTGGGATATTTTTATTACTGTGTAGAATTTATCTAAATTGTGAAGCATTTTTTAACTGTAAGTTAAAAAAAAGTGATACTGAAATCAGGTTATTATTGTATTATAACCTATAATGAGCATCAGTTTTCTTAAAAACTCACAACAAATGTTTGATTTCAGACGTTCACTGCTGGAGGATGGTTTCTGTCAGTATCACAGATTTGTGGGGAAAAGCTGAAGATCAGGTTTTAAAATATTTTCTGGGGAGGATAGCCTTCTTGTGACCTTATCTTGACTTTGTGATAGCCACAGGCTTTGTTATTCACCCATTACATTTGTCTAATAGGAAAAATGTCTAAATCTGTTCTTACATAAGAAGCGATTTCCAGAAATTCTGTGACTGGCTGACAACTTAGTTTTAATCAGATGTAAATTTATTTATTTTTCTTTGTACAAAGTGCAGATGGTTAAATGTTCATGATTATTTTAAGTATGAAAACGCCCCAAAAAAAACAAACTGGACTGAACAGTCCGACCGATAAAGTTTGATTTTGTCGGTTTGCATACAGAAACCTCCTCAGCGGAAAAGCTTCTGCAGTATAGGTTTAAGCTGGGCAAAACTGCTGCTGTTCTTCAGCTTCTGTGGCATGTTGCTGGACTTCATGAGCGCCTCGTGAGCTTCTTCGAATAACTTCTCACCGAGCTCTTTCTTCACTCTGTCCCTCCAGGCGATCAGCTTCGGGCGACCTTCAAACCCATCAAAACCAGTTCCAATAGGCTGCAAAACAGACAATAGTGCAGTTATATTTGTGGAAATCAGCTGACAATTGTTAGAATTTAACAAATCAAACCATAAAAACTCAGAAGACAAAAAAAAGTTAGAACAATCCGAGCATATCATTTTCATTCAGACAAGTCACCTGATGGACTATCCTGCAGTTATGACTGTCTGCCAGCTACACGCTTATCATCTGGCCCTAATGTGCTCCATGTGAAGCAGGCTTAATGTGGAAGTGGCCCTAATTTAAATATATGGTAGACATGTAGATGAGTTGAGGTACCTGAACTCATCACGAGTCAATGCTGCAGGTCAAGGCCAAATGTTGTCCATGAAAACAGTTAGAAACGACTTTTGACCAAGTCCAAGAGATTTAAACCCGGAGTAAACTGCAGTTTAAGACAACTTAACTCGACCTCAATGGACTGGTAACACAAACCAACTGGGCACAGTACCATGGATATGACTAAACTAAAGACTAAAGATTAAAACCTGAACACACAAATGATTTCAACTGGCTTAAATGTGAGAAGACTCTTGGAGAAGAGATTTTAAAGCTCCCTCTTCACACATGCTGTGGGAGTTTTAATGTATACGCAGTATTTACTTATAATTTTAGGTTTAAAATTAGTTACGACAGGCAAAGTAGAAATCCTGCGACAGAAGCAGCAGTAGTGATGGAAATATTAGTACCTGGATGATCTCCACTACGGCCACCACATCAGCCACAGAGATTTTGTCCCCGAGGATGAACGGTTTACTCTGGAGGAATTTCTCCTCCAGCAGGTTGAGCGACTGCTTCACATTCTCAAGAGCAAAGTCCATCGTCTCCTTCGGGATTTCAGCGTCCATGACAATCTGATACATAGCCTGCCATCACAGACACACAGAGATTAGCTGTTGGCACCGGCAATGCAGTCAAGAGTAGGGATGGGTATCGTTTAGGTTTTATCCGATACCGGTGCCAAACCGGTACTTTTGAAACGGTGC